TATTGGTCGAAAATTGAAGTCATCTTGTTTCGTAGCAGCTACTTATAAGATATTTTTGTGAAGAATTAAAAAAAAAATGCATGGGATTAATGTAGATCAGTATAATGCCCTTTTGCTAGTATTTTTCAAATGACCTATTTCAACATAGATCATTGTAAATATAGCTAGAAGATTCAAGTGCCCAAAAATTCAATAAAAATATAACGTATTTATTTACCAACAAAGGGATTGACACAGTTAATATAAGTAATTTTCTTAATTATAAAAAGTTCCAGTCTTGAATTCCATCTTATTTCAAGTCCACATCTTGTATTCATCGACAATTGCTTCCAAACTTTTTCATTATAAGAAACTGTACGGTGCCTATATATCGAGCATCTGAAACAGAATCCCCCAAGGTGTTCACGGCCTCCTTCACCCAAGAACTATAGTTCTGCTGGACAGGTCATTCCTGGTTAACAATGAGGACCTTAACATTATTATAAAAGCGCCAAAGTTTAGAGAACCCCAGTCTTTCAACTGGCGTCATAATTCATAAATATTATGAATTCAATAAAAGATTACGCCAGACGATTGGCCAAATATGAGAAAGAGGAACTTGACACTTTGTCAGAATGGATTAAATGTATCATATGGATGTTGAAATCGCGCATTAAGCAATTGAGAGGCAATACCTTAAACCATTTATCTCTTTGTCTTCGACAATGCAGAAGTAAAACAAGAATAAGATAAATTACACAATTAGTATGCAGTGGTTCCCGCTGACAAAGCAGGTAACAACATTGTCTTTGTTTGTAAGGCTCATTATTTGAATTATATTTTAGAGGAAATTAGGATTTAATTCTGCTAGTGGTAATCCAAATTATAACCATAGCTCCCTTTCTAAGGAGGAAATTCTTTAAAGCCATATGTCAGTTTTAAATATATTTTTTAATATTTCAAACAATAAAAAAATGAATTTAAATTACCATACCTTTACTGGATTCCAAAACTCCATAAAATCCTTATAAACATAGATACATAGTGGGTCCAGTAAATGTTCTACTAAGCCTCTTTCTTTATTCCTTACTAAAATATTTACACCAGTAAAGGAGAAACTTCAGGAGTACTGTACAACAGTATTCCTGTGGTGTACGAGGGCTATTAGAAAAGTTCGCGGACAAGATATATTGTGAGCGCGCTATTTGCTTGAAACCAGTAAAACACTGCAGATGAAAACTACACTTATTTTCCAAAAAATATGCAAAGATTTATTTTTTTCCGACGATTCCTAAAAAAAAATATACAGCTTTATTATTCAGATAAAATATGCTTCACGCAGCATGTCGCTATTTCGCACGTTTACATTACATAGACATTTTTTTCTGAAATTAAAAATTGCACTGTTGTAGTGCGCAACGATTTATGATATTTCACCAGTCGCTATATTATTCAAGAAACGCCATTGGGTGAAATTTTGGATTTAACTGGAAAAGATTTGACTGTTTAATCGCTAATGAAAGATGATCAATCCGTAAAAACAAAGTCAAAAATGGCAACGTCATTGAACGTCTTGGAGCACCGAACTATTGAAAAATTGTGTGCAGACAGGAAAATGCTAAAAAAGAGACTAAAATGTTATTAAATCTGCTTGGGATTGCCTACACGTACCTAGCTCCAAAGTGTTCAGTAGGAAATTCCTTTGTAAGTATGCAAGGATTGACATTTTCGATGATCAACTCCTGTGATACCCCAGCTCCCAACCCCCCCCCCCCCCCAACCCCCAACCCCTCCACCCCATATCGCAGGTATATTGCGCCTATGGATATTTGCATTATTTCCAAAGCTGATCGCTTTATTGTGTACACATTACTTTTAGGATCTTGCTAATATCCCATACGCCAAAAAACAGATTTAGGAAACAAGTAACGTCTTCATATAAATGTTTAATTTCTAAGTGGGAATGAAATATATGGAGATAACGAACAGTATTCAAGCTCAAAAGTCCATTATACAATACAAAATAGGAGCAGAGCAAACACGGACCTCCAAACATCAGAGGTGGGATCAGGTGCCATGGAGGAGTGAGCATCCCCTGCCGACCGGTCACACCCGCCGTGTGCTCCTTGTCATGATCGGGAAATAACGGAAAAATCCGTCGATAATTCAGGGTGTAAATTATGGCCTAACAATTAGTGTGAAAAACGTCAGTCAGCATTTGACTCAATGATAAATTGTATTTGCTGACAAGGTCATTGTATCGACCATAGAACTTACGAAATGATGACTTTAAACGAGACAGCTGATATTCTTGTTTCATCAACTTATTTGTCAATAATTTACCTCGTTTTAGAAATTGTACATACGTAGAGCATGCTCTTGCGTATCGAATCAACTGAGAGATATATACCCCGTATGCAGGTGATGAAGGTATATTGCTGCTTAAGTAAGGGAAGTTGACGATTGAAAAGATAAAGTCATCACGTTTATCATAAAGCTTGGTTGTTAGATTACCATTAACGTCTATTTCAAGTAAAATATCCAAATATGAAACATGTGTCTGACTCTGTGGCATCTTTTATCTCAAGTTCACCAGGATATATCGTATTGACATAAGAATGAAAATAGCCATTGTTAATTGACAATACGTCGTCGATATATCTAAATGTCGAGTTGAACGCCACAGCAAGTGTTTTCTTCTTTTCACGTACAAGATTTTGGACAAATTCTGCTTGATATGAATACAAAAAAGGTCTGCTAATAACGGGGCGCAATTGGTACCCATAGAAATTTCAATAGATTGTTGGAAGACCTGGTCTCCAAAAACCACATAGATATTGTCAATCAGAAAATCAAGCATCATTTTAATGTCAACTTCAGAGTACTTGTGTGTACAATCTGAATGCTTTTTAACAAAATAACTTTGCAAATGACCAAAGACACGGTAAGTATATTTACGAGTTCCATTTTTATTGAAAAAGCAGCTGTCAATGATATCAAAAAGCCTGGACTTTAATTTTAACTTTAATTAAGACATGAAAAGTCTAAAGAATGAAAAATCTTTTAAACTCCGATGAAGATTGACAGGATTGGAATTAGGTTGTCGCGTCTTTTAACATCGGAACACGTCAAGTTATTGCTCCATGAATCCTATGACCGCAAAGTAAAAACATTGTATTCTTCAAAACGTAAGTAAATGGACATGATTTTTTATATATATATATTTATAATCAAAAGAAAGGAATTTCATCAGACACACATGATTCTTCAAAGTACACAATGAATTTTCTGTAAATCAATGTGTCCACGAACTTTTCTAACAACCCTCGTAAATCAGATGTGGACATTTAAAATCTCCAAGAAATTTTTAGAAAATTTGAAATCACCAAATTTTAACAAAATCAATAACATCAAAACGTACGACTTTTCAACGTTTAATACAACCATTTCCACCGATTAATTAAAGTTCAGGATTTTTGACATCAAAGATTGCTGCTTTTTCAATAAAAATGGAACTCGTTAATATACTTCCCTTGTCATTGGTCATTTGAAAAATTATTTTGTTAAAAACGCATTCTTATTGTAAACACAACTACTCTGAAATTGAGATTAAAAAGATGCTTGAGTTTCTGATTGACAATATCTATGTAGTTTTGGAGATCAAACCCCGGGATCATGAAACATCATAAGCTTAAGTCAAAATATTTTTGTTTTACTAAGATGTAGAAGTCAAGCAGACCAAAATTAAAATATTTTATAATATTGCTTTACAAAAGTAGTGTAATCTGAAAATTTTGAGAAAAAATCAATAATTAATAAGCGTTTTACAGGTGATTGAAATTTTGACTGGAATCTTAGTCTGCTTCATGATCCCGGGGCCAGGTCTTCCAACAATCAGTTGGAATTCCCATGGGTACCATTTTCGCACCCCTTTTTTAGCAGACCTATTTTTGTATTCATATGAAGCAGAATTTATTCAAAAACTTCTACATGAGAAGAAGAAAACAATTCCCGTGGCCTTCAACTCGACATTTCGATGTATCGACGACGTATTATCAATTAACAATAGTTAATTCCATTCGTATGTCAACTCGATATATCCCATTAAGCTTACAATAAGAGATAAAACAAAGTCTGACACATCTGATTCATATTTGGATATTTAAAAGAAAAAGACTTTAATGGTTAACTAACAACAATGCCTTATGATAATCGTGAATACTTCAATTTTTCAATCGTCAACTTCCCTTACTTTTGTAGGAATATACTTATCACCTGCATATAGGGTTTTTGTCTACCAGTTGATTCGATACGCAAGGACAGCTCTAAGTATCAACGATTTCTATAACGAGGCAAGCTATTGACAAACAAGTTGATGAAACAAGGATATCAACAGTCTCATTCGAAGTCATCATTTCGCAAGTTCCATTGCCGAAACAATGACCTTTTCAGCAAATACAACCAAACATTAAGTCAAATGCTGACTGACATTTTTCATACTCATTTTTAGGACTCTGAGCTTGACTACTGTTTGTTATCTCCATATTACCTTTAAGCTTTAACCATTATGACTCTAGTAAGGTCAGTTTGGAGGTTACTGAATAGTCATGGAAATTTAGTTCTTAAATATGGATATTCCCACCAAAATAGCAGGTAATTTTAGTATTCCTTTTGATAAAAGAATTCAAAATTTATTTATCATGATGTGTCAAAACAACTCCATATTCGATTTAAAATGTGCCAGAAGAGAAAGGGTTACAAATCCATTAAGAATTTTAAAGAGAAATCTCCTAAGTCATTTGCCATATCGTAGCAGAGATATAAAAGAGTAAAAAATTAATTTATAATGATGTGTCAAAAAGTCTCCAAATTCGCTTAAAATGTTCCAGAAGAGAAAGGGTTAAACATCCATTTAGAATTTTAAAGAGAAATCTCTTTCTTTTAAGAGTCCTTTCCTATATTGTAGTAGAGATGCCAGGAAGTTTACACGCAAAATTTTATTTGATGCTACATCAGCTCACCTTTTCCGCTCTGAAATGGCTTTTCCTCTTCATCGACTGGGTTACCATGAACAGACATCGCATGCTTAACTTCCTTCTTTATATCTGGCCTAGTAAGTACACCGTACTTTCTTAGTTGAATTTTTCCAATTCTTTGGGTCGGTGAGCTTGTAACTAAATAAGACAACAACAAGATTGAAAAGAAAAATTGTCTTTTTAATTAATGGGCAACAATAAAAAGATAATTTAATAAATTTAAATCGTAACACGTAATCATATATTCTTTACGGATTTCTTACTGAATTTTTGTTTCCGGAATTTAACATCTGAGTTTGTATTGGGTTTTTCTGATATTGCAAAATTTATGTTAGTTTCCATTCTCATGAAAAAAATCCCACTCTCAATTAGGTTACACATTGTATTAATTGAAAATACATTCTTTTTTTCCGATATGACTTATTTTATACTGTCAGTTTTAGAATTCAAAGCAAAAAATTCATATATCGACGAATATTCATATTCATTTCTATATTTATTAAATATATCCCTCTAAATTTGATATGAGAGATAACACAAAGTAAAAACATTGTATATTTTCAAAATGTAAGTACGAGGGGTGATCAAAAAGTTCGCGAACTATCTCTATATTTAGAAAACCACAGTTCAGATTAGAATAAAATTTGGCAGAAATATAACCATACATATGTTCTATAAATAGCAGCTGCTATGTAATGTTTTCTTTCATATTTGTGACGTCACCATGTGAAATAGCATTACAATGTAGGTGCTTTGTGACAGAAAATAGTTGACTCAGTCGTACTTGAGCAACGAACTCTGTAAAGTTTAACGTATATCTTGGAAATTCTTTTGCAGTAGCATATAATAATTTGTACAAGGTTTATGAAGATAAAAGACTTGCCAGAAGTTCATTCATTAATTTGATTCATTATTTTAGTGAGGGAAGGGGGTGTATAAAAATGATGTTTGTTCTGTTGCCTAGTGAAAGCAAGCTGGGGAGGATATCTGTCTTTAGTTGAGCAATTTGTTATGAAAGATCGCCAAGTAACAGATAGAAGAATATTTGAATATCTTAACAATAATATAATTATTAAATCCCTAAAATATTTTCTTTTTTATTTTAGACTTTAAACATACCAGATATGATATAATGAAGGTGCCTATACTATATCCATATCGGATAATCGACGTTCCTAAGACAGAAAACTCGAGTTGTGATGGTCACCATGCTCATTCTGGGAAAGGACGTCCTTATCCACCCATCCTATTTTCAAGATTCGGCCATTTCTGACAAATGAACATTTTTTGTTATAAAAAATAACTTGCAGGATAAGAAATATAGGACTCGGAAAAATCTTTTAGCTTCTGTGAACAGAACGCCACGGAGCATGTCACGTAACCGCCTGGATTACGTGATTCGCGCATGGGCAGAAGGATGGATGATGTGCATTAAATTCAGATAGGACTACTTTAAAAATAATGAACACTGAAACCTAATTTTATTTCTTTTATGGAAGTAATTCAATTAGGTCTGGAACTTTTGTTCACCCGTCGTAAATGGACCTGATTATTTTTATATCCTTATAAACAAGAGAAAAGAATTTCATCAGACACACATGATTCTTCAAAGTACACAATAAATTTTCTGTAAATCAATGTGTCCACGAACTTTTCTAACAACCCTCGTAAATCAGATGTGGACACTTAAAATCTCCTAGAAACTTTTAGAAAGAAATATATATGGTTTCCTTCAAATTTTGCCCCCGTTATTGTTAAAATTTAAACGCCAATGAACCTAATTGAAATTGATATTGTTTGAAAGAATAGAATATATTTTTCTCTTTTATCGTTATATTGATATATTAACTCAAGTAATATGCAGGAAATTAAAGGTTCAAAGTACCTTAGTTTACAAGAAAACGTCAAAAAGTCGCATTTTTGACACCGTTGGTGGCGATTATATATATGTGCGACGCCTTGAACAAGAAAGATATTTGCACATGTAAAAGATATTTTCAAAGAAAGTCTACATCCTAAAAATTAATATTCTTCAAAACGTCGCACATACTCAATTAAAAAAAAACCTTGATTTAAATTTGCCTTTCTGACTATCGTGTGTTGTTACAACCATGCACGGAGAGACGACGTTGTTGGCATAAAGGCCTAATTGAATATTTATTCGAAGTAGCGTCGTCTATAATTGCTTCATCTATGTATACCAACATAAATATCCCGAACATTAATAACTATCTGTTCTTGAAACAATTTTTGTGAGGAAGAATATTTTTTATCACGATCGTTATTCCAAGATACATAGATCTGTTGATGTGTACGTGTGCGGATCACAAGGATCACGAGGAAAGAGTCTGATCTTCGAATCGCTAAACCTTCGAGTCTGCTGTATAAGAAAATACTTTAAAAGAGAGGTATGTAGAGTATACATTTTAAAATTATCATATCATTTACAAATACGATCATTGTGTATGTTAAAATGATGTCAATTTTTTTCCATTTACAAGCAACAAATATAAGGCCAAATATATTTGTAAAAATGTCCTATTTTTTCCCTAAAATTTCAATATTGGGGGCATTATTAATTTTAAAAAATTACTAAAGTAATATTTCTTTCAATCTTGAATAGAAATACGCAACAGAAATAATATATATATATATATATATATATATATATATATATATATATATATATATATATATATATATATATATATATATATATATATATATATATATATTTCAATAATTTAATTTTTATGCAAATTTATTTATTTGAAAGAAATATATATATATAATAATCATTTTGTTCTTAGTTTTAGTTTATTGTGTGCTACAAAACAATAAACATGCATCTCAACTGAAATTTCAAATTATTCATTAATTTAATTTCTTTTTTTTTCTTTGTTAATTTATTTATTTACTAACCTATAACACATACAGGTCAGGTGCGTAGTATCAGGAAGCCGATGGACCTGCCTCCCCCTTTCCCCAAACACAATTTTTATTGTTATTTTAACGTGTAAATCACAGCCCTTTCCGGATGCGCTCATAACACCTAATGATTTACCTCACCCCTTGTTAGGGTTTTTTCTTTTTTTTTTTTTTTTTTTTTTTTTTTTTTTATTTTGTTCATTCAAAAAAAAAATGTTATGTAGTCGCAAATACTGTTTTTTAAAGAATAGTTGGGTAGACAGAGATGATTGTTCCTTTTCCAGACTCTACTAATAGGAGGCCTCCCTATATTTCATAAGCGTAGGAACCGCGGGAGGGGGGCTTATCCCCCCCCCACTTTTTTGCAAAGATGGTCATAATATAGGCATTAAACATTGGGGCGTAGGTTTAGCCCCCCTTTCAACAGGAACATAGCGCTTGAAAGAAAAGGTACTGAAAGAAGTTCGATCCCCCCTAGCCCCCCCCCCCACTTTCAATTACCTTCTGACGCCAATACATTTATTTCAGTGTTTATAAAAAAGGGGGTGTGTCATGGACATCTTTGTAACACAGTCAAAATTGTTTCACCGCTTGTTGGAAAAGCCCGAAAAGTTGCGATTAGAAATATTCATTGACCAACACCCCAACCCCGCTCCCCCAATTATTTTGTCGCAGTTAAGTCAAATTTTTCCATGGTTACACATTCTAATCTGTGTCGGCGTGGTGCAGTGGTTAGAGCACTTGCTCTAAAGTTCGGAGAGTAAAGAGATCCTTACGTCGCGGGTTCGAATCTCAGTGCAGAATTGGAAACTGATGAGACCGTAGAAACCGAGGAACTGCGTCGCAATAGGTGTTGGCACAAAGTAGAACCTCACTGCTAAAAGGCGTAAGTGCCGAGTACTAAATTTTTAGCCCTCCAACGACAAGTGGTGGCATCTCAATATGAATGAAAAATTTTTGAAAGAGACAATACACATCTATTTATTTCATTTGTATATCTCTTATCTCTTGAATTTCCAGTTACTAGTATTTGTATTCTATTGTATTTGCATTGTTTTCTTCTACATTTTTATGTTCAATTTTTTAAAGTCATAATTGTAATCCTAGGTTCAAAATTTCCTATTGATAAAAACGGGTAGTTCAACAAAAGAAAGGCGAAATTATTATCTTTTATGCAAGTTTTGTTGTATCAGATTCTTTATTTTGTCTTCTTTCTTTTCCAGATGGCAAAAAGGAGTTATGAGCTTATGCCATCGACGATGCAAGCTGAACTCGAGGCACAATACGCCAGGCAAACAATTCGTACGATTTGTTAAACAAGAAATTGTTTAGGCACCGAAATATTGTACAGTATCTCCAGCACAACACGATTGGTCAACCCAAGACAAAGTTTGGTTTTCTTGACCATGTAACAGGATAACATTCAGTAGCCCAAAGTCTATTTCTCTGAAAAATCGTCCACTCCTAAATTGTACTGGTGCTCAAGAATTGTCACACATGCCTGAGCTAGGGACACGCCAGTTGTTGTTATCTAGCTCCGCTATATGTAGCCTCTGAGAACCAATTCACTCTTACTGGTATAACCAAAGAACAATTTAAAAATATAAGGAATTCTTTGCTACCCATCATTAGAAAGTGAGATCCGTAAGAACTCGAAATGAAAATGCGCATAGGCATTTAAAAGGTGTTCTATGTATTACTTAAAATAGAAGAGGCAAAATACATATTACATAAAATGTACTAGAATGTATTTAAAATGACTTTTTGTTTGACTTATTTCTGCACCTGAAATATGATCATTCTATGCACAATATTAATGATGTTCATTTTGCAACATAATGCTGAATGATAGTCTTATTGAATTCCTCTTTTAAATGATAACATATATAAACCGATAAATTGCCTTTCTCATTTTTTTCTGCCAGTGACTCGATTTTTTTTAGATGACCATGGGTTATGTTTATGAGCCACCTTCACCTTTATTGAAGCATGGGAATCTATCCAATTTTTTATTATAAAGTTATTAATTAAACACAATTTAGTCAATGTTTTTGCAAGTGACATTGAATTTGACCTTGAATCAAAGTTAGAGCTTAATTCAGGTCATAAATCCTATGTATATATACATGTACATGTAGAATATAAGCTTCTAATGTTTTTCAGTTACAAAGTTATTGTCGGAAATGACTGCATTGACGGACAGACTAATGGTCAGACAATCCCCCCAACAAAAACAGTTTTCGTTAAATATTTAAATATGGGTTTTTTTTTTTTATTTTACCAAAATAAATGTAAAGTTTAACAAAAAATCGGAATGGAGAGAATAGAGACTGTATCAAAATTAACGATTGTTTTTATTACAGCAAAAGTTTGGTTAAATGACAATAATAGCTAGATTTTCAGGTCTGAAGATATCGTTTTTTAAAGATGGTTTCCATGGCAATGGAATGTTTGATCAATTTAAAATATGTTTTCTCAGCAGTACACTTACATTAACATATCCCAAAGTATAAATATAGACAATTACTGAAGAAATTATAGATGCAATCACAAAGTTTTGTTAAATGAAAATAGAAGCTAGATTTACAGGTCAGAAGGTATACGTATTTAAAGATGGTGTCCATGGCAACGGAATGGCTTCTCTAATACTAGAAATCTAAAATATAGATCTATTTCCTTGGTAATACAGTCACCTTAGCATATTCCAGAGTATACATATAGACATTCATTAAAGATATTATAGATGTGACCAAAATTAAAGTTTTAAGGTATGAATAATTGAATATGGTTACCATGGAAACGGAATGCCTGATCAATTTAAAATATATTTTCTTGGTAAAACAGTCACTGTGACATACTAGTATCCCAAAGTATAAATATAGACATTTACTGAAGACATTATAGTTGGTATCAAAATAAAAGATTGGTTAAAAGACGATAGATGCCAGATTTTTAGGTCTGAAGGTATGTGTTTTTTGACGACGGTTTCCTTGGCAACGAAATGCCTGAACAAATTAAAATATCTTTTTTAAGCAACACACTTGCCTTATCAGTCCACATAGTAAATATAAACATTTTCTGAATGGGGGCCTAAAATGGCCCACACCATATATAGTTCTTTGAAATTCCCAAATTTTAACAAAATCAATAACATCAAAACGTACGACTTTTCAACATTTAATACAACCATTTCCAACGATTATTAAAGTCCAGGATTTTTGACATCAAAGATTGCTGATTTTTCAATAAAAATGGAACTCGTTAATATACTTCCCTTGTCATTGGTCATTTGCAAAATTATTTTGTTAAAAACGCATTCTTACTGTACACACAACTATTCTGAAATTTATATTAAAAAGATGCTTGAGTTTCTGATTGACAATATCTATGTAGTTTTGGAGATCAGCTCTTCCAACAATCAGTTGGAATTTCATTGGGTACCATTTTTGGCACCCCTTTTTAGTAGAACTATTTTTGTATTCATATGAAGCAGAATTTATCAAAACTTTCTACATGAGAAGAAGAAAACTATTGCCTTCAACTCGACATTTTGATGTATCGACGACGTATTATCAATTAACAATAGTTAATTCCATTCGTATGTCAACTCGATATATCCCATTAAGCTCACAATAAGAGATAATACAGAGTCTGACACATCTGATTCATATTTGGATATTTTAAAAGAAAAAGACTTTAATGGTTAACTAACAACAAAGCCTTATGATAATCGTGATGACTTCAATTTTTCAATCGTCAACTTCCCTTACTTTTGTAGGAATATACTTATCACCTGCATATAGGGTTTTTGTCTACCAGTTGTTTCGATACGCACGGACAGCTCTAAGTATCAGCGATTTCTATAACGAGGCAAGCTATTGACAAACAAGTTGATGAAACAAGGATATCAACAGTCTCATTCGAAGTCATCATTTCGCAAGTTCCATTGCCGATACAATGACCTTGTCAGCAAATACAACCAAACATTAACTTAAATGCTGACTGACATTTTTCATACTCATTTTTAGGACTCTGAGCTTGACTACTGTTTGTTATCTCCATATTACCTTTAAGCTTTAACCATTATGACTCTAGTAAGGTCAGTTTGGAGGTTACTGAATAGTCATGGAAATTTAGTTCTTAAATATGGATATTCCCACCAAAATAGCAGGTAATTTTAGTATTCCTTTTGATAAAAGAATTTAAAATTTATTGATTATGATGTATCAAAACAACTCCATATTCGATTTAAAATGTGCCAGAAGAGAAAGGGTTACAAATCCATTAAGAATTTTAAAGAGAAATCTCCTTTATTTACAAGTCATTTGCCATAACGTAGCAGAGATATAAAAGAGTAAAAAATTAATTTATAATGAAGTGTCAAAAAGTCTCCAAATTCGCTTAAAATGTTCCAGAAGAGAAAGGGTTAAACATCCATTTAGAATTTTAAAGAGAAATCTCTTTCTTTTAAGAGTCCTTTCCTATATTGTAGTAGAGATGCCAGGAAGTTTACACGCAAAATTTTATTTGATGCTACATCAGCTCACCTTTTCCGCTCTGAAATGGCTTTTCCTCTTCATCGACTGGGTTACCATGAACAGACATCGCATGCTTAACTTCCTTCTTTATATCTGGCCTAGTAAGTACACCGTACTTTCTTGGTTGAATTTTTCCAATTCTTTGGGTCGGTGAGCTTGTAACTAAATAAGACAACAACAGGATTGAAAAGAAAAATTGTCTTTTTAATTAATGGGTAACAATAAAAAGATAGTTTAATAAATTTAAATTGTAGCACGTAATCATATATCCTTTACGGATTTCTTACTGAATTTTTGTTTCCGGAATTTAACATCTGAGTTTGTATTGGTGTTTTTCTTTCTTTTATAGGCAAAATTTATATTAATTTCTATTCTCGTGAAAAAAAAAATCCCACTCTCAATTAGGTTACACATTGTATTAATTGAAAATACATTCTTTTTTTCCGATATGACTTATTTTATACTGTCAGTTTTAGAATTCAAAGCAAAAAATTCATATATCGACGAATACTCATATTCATTTCTACATTCATTAAATATATCCCTCTAAATTTGATATGAGAGATAACACAAAGTAAAAACATTGTATATTTTCAAAATGTAAGTACGAGTGGTGATCAAAAAATTCGCGAACTATCTCTATATTTAGAAAGCCACAGTTCAGATTAGAATAAAATTTGGCAGAAATATAGTCATACATATGTTCTATAAATAGCAGCTGCTATGTAATGTTTTGTTTCATATCTGTGACGTCACCATGTGAAAATAGCATCACAATGTACGTGCTTTGTGACAGAAAATAGTTGACTCAGTCGTACTTGAGCAACGAACGGCTGTAAAGTTTAACGTATATCTTGGAAATTCTTTTGCAGTAGCATATAATAATTTGTACAAGGTTTATGAAGATAAAAGACTTGCCAGAAATTCATTCATTAATTTGATTCATTATTTAGGTGAGGGAAGGGGGGTGTTTAAAAATGATGTTTGTTCTGTTGCCTGGTGAAAGCAAGCTGGGGAGGATATTTGTCTTTAGTTGAGCAATTTATTATGAAAGATCGCCAAGTAACAGATAGAAGAATAGTTGAATATCTTAACAATAATATAATTAATAAATCCCTAAAATATTTTCTTTTTTATTTTTGACTTTAAACATACCAGATATGATATAATGAAGGTGCCTATACTATATCCATATCGGATAATCGACGTTCCTAAGACAGAAAACTCGAGTTGTGATGGTCACCATGCTCATTCTGGAAAAGGACATCCTTATCCACCCATCCTATTTTCAAGATTCGGCCATTTCTGACAAATGAACATTTTTTGTTATAAAAAATAACTTGCAGGATAAGAAATATAGGACTCCGAAAAATCTTTTAACTTCTGTGAACAGAACGCCACGGAGCATGTCACGTGATTATGGATTACGTGATTCGTGCATGGGCAGAACGATGGAAGATGTGCATTAAATCCAGATAGGACTACTTTAAAGACTAATGAACACTGAAACCTAATTTTATTTCTTTTATGGAAGTAATTCAATTAGGTCTCGAACTTCTGATCACCCTTCATAAATGGACCTGATTATTTTTATATCCTTATAAACAAGAGAAAAGAATTTCATCAGACACACATGATTCTTCAAAGTACACAATAAATTTTCTGCAAATCAATGTGTCCACGAACTTCTCTAACAACCCTCGTAATTCAGATGTGGACACTTAAAATCTCCTAGAAACTTTTAGAAAGAACTATATATGATTTCTTCAAATTTTGCCCCCGTTATTGTTAAAATTTAAACGCCAATGAACCTAAATGAAATTGAGATTGTTTGAAAGAATAGAATATATTTTTCTCTTTTATCGTTATATTGATATATTAACTCAAGTAATATGCAGGAAATTAAAGGTTCAAAGTACCTTAGTTTACAAGAATACGTCAAAAAGTGGCATTTTTGACACCGTTAGTGGCGATTATATATATGTGCGACGCCTTGAACAAGAAAGATATTTGCACATGCAAAAGATATTTTCAAAGAAAGTCTACATCCTAAAAATTAATCTTCTTCAAAAAGTCGCACATACTCGATTAAAAAAAAAACCTTGATTTAAATTTGCCTTTGCTGACTATCGTGTGCTGTCACAACCATGCACGAAGAGACGACGTTGTTCGTATATAGGCCTAATTGAATATTTATTCGAAGTAGCGTCGTCTATAATTGCTTCATCTATGTATACCAACATAAATATCCCGAACATTAATAACTATCTGTTCTTGAAACAATTTTTGTGAGGAAGAATATTTTTTATCGCGATCGTTATTCCAAGATACATAGATCTGTTGATGTGTACGGGTGCGGATCACAAGGATCACGAGGAAAGAGTCTGATCTTCGAATCGCTAAACCTTCGATTCTGCTGTATAAGAATATACTTCAAAAGAGAGGTATGTACAGTATACATTTTAAAAGTATCATATCATTTACAAATACGATCATTGTGTATGTTAAAATGTTGTCATTTTTTTCCATTTACAAGCAACAAATATAAGGCCAACCATATTTGTGAAAATGTCCTATTATTTCCTAAAATTTCAATATTGCGGGCATTATTAATTTTAAAAAAATACTAAAGTAATATTTCTTTCAATCTTGAATAGAAATACGCAACAGAAATAATATATATATATATATATATTGCAATAATTTATTTTTTATGCAAATTTATTTATTTAATTATATATATATATATATATATATATATATATATATATATATATATATATATATATATATATATATATATATATATATATATATATATATATATATATATATATATATATATATACGAGGGTTGTTCGGAAAGTTCGTGGACTTCTGTCATATCTTTTTTATTTAACGTCATATGTTATCCAAATTTGGTAGAAATATTTTAACAATAAAATTAAATGATTTGTATTAAATTTTTCAAAAATATCATGATTTGTTTAAAACTTATCCAGAATTAAAAACTTCAAAAATCTGATCGCGGCGCAGGTCAAAATTTAGTAATTTACAAACAATACAATAAATTATATCTGTAGTCATCTTCTCTGTAAAATGGAGCAAAAACGAAAAAATCCTAGACGGTTAAATCAAGAACTGTTACATCGATTCGTATTCCAAATTATGGCTTAATATTTTGCTTCGGTAAAAAGAAATCAATTTGAGAAGATAGCTAGTCCTCATTGTCGGAAATGACTGCATTGACGGACAGACTAATGGTCAGACAATCCCCCCAACAAAAACAGTTTTCGTTAAATATTTAAATATGGTTTTTTTTTTATTTTACCAAAATAATTGTAAAGTTTAACAAAAAATCGGAATGGAGAGAATAGAGACTGTATCAAAATTAACGATTGTTTTTATTACAGCAAAAGTTTGGTTAAATGACAATAATAGCCAGATTTTTAGGTCTGAAGATATCGTTTTTAAAGATGGTTTCCATGGCAATGGAATGTTTGATCAATTTAAAATATGTTTTCTCAGCAGTACACTTACATTAACATATCCCAAAGTATAAATATAGACATTTACTGAAGAAATTATAGATGCAATCACAAAGTTTTGTTAAATGACAATAGAAGCTAGATTTACAGGTCAGAAGGTATACGTATTTAAAGATGGTGTCCATGGCAACGGAATGGCTTCTCTAAAACTAGAAATCTAAAATATAGATCTATTTCCTTGGTAATACAGTCACCTTAGCATATTCCAGAGTATAAATATAGACATTCAATAAAGATATTATAGATGCGACCAAAATTAAAGTTTTAAGGTATGAATAATTGAATATGGTTACCATGTAAACGGAATGCCTGATCAATTTAAAATATATTTCCTTGGTAAAACAGTCACTGTGACATACTAGTATCCCAAAGTATAAATATAGGCATTTACTGAAGACATTATAGTTGGTATCAAAATTAAAAATTGGTTAAAAGACGATAGATGCCAGATTTTTAGGTCTAAAGGTATGTGTTTTTTGACGACGGTTTCCATGGCAACGAAATGCCTGAACAAATTAAAATATATTTTTTTAAGCAACACACTTACCTTTTCAGTCCCCTTAGTAAATATAAACATTTTCTGAATGGGGGCCTTAAATGGCCCACACCATATATAGTTCTTTGAAATCACCAAATTTTAACAAAATCAATAACATCAAAACGTACGACTTTTCAACATTTAATACAACCATTTCCAACGATTATTAAAGTCCAGGATTTTTGACATCAAAGATTGCTGATTTTTCAATAAAAATGGAACTCGTTAATATACTTACCTTGTCATTGGTCATTTGCAAAATTATTTTGTTAAAAACGCATTCTTATTGTACACACAACTACTCTGAAATTTATATTAAAAAGATGCTTGAGTTTCTGATTGACAATATCTATGTAGTTTTGGAGATCAGGTCTTCCAACAATCAGTTGGAATTCTCATGGGTACCATTTTTGGCACCCCTTTTTAGTAGAACTATTTTTGTATTCATATGAAGCAGAATTTATTCAAAAAAAGAAAAAAAACTATTGCCGTGGCCTTCAACTCGATATTTTGATGTATCGACGACGTATTATCAATTAACAATAGTTAATTCCATTCGTATGTCGACTCGATATATCCCATTAAGCTTACAATAAGAGATAATACAGAGTCTGACACATCTGATTCATATTTGGATATTTTAAAAGAAAAAGACTTTAATGATAATCTAACAACAAAGCCTTATGATAATCGTGATAGCTTCAATTTTTCAATCGTCAACTTCCCTTACTTTTGTAGGAATATACTTATCACCTGCATATAGGGTTTTTGTCTACCAGTTGATTCGATACGCACGGACAGCTCTACGTATCAACGATTTCTATAACGAGGCAAGCTATTGACAAACAAGTTGATGAAACAAGGATATCAACAGTCTCATTCGAAGGCACCATTTCGCAAGTTCCATTGTCTGTACAATGACCTTGTCAGCAAATACAACCAAACATTAAGTCAAATGCTGACTGACATTTTTCATACTCATTTTAGGCCATTATTTTCAAACTGACTTGTCTACGGATTTTTCCCACTTTTCCCGATCATGACAAGGAGCACACGGCGCGCAGCTAGGTTAAGGACGCCCATGAAATACACGCCTTTATATATTCAGGGAAATTGAATACAATTTTAGTATTTTTTTAACAGCAGTAGTTGTGATAAATGTGAATTTTGGTGATTGCATTTGTATATATCGGGTCTCTGCTGAGTTCGGCCAAAGTGACATCGCTTACATCAGCTGTTTGTCACGTGACAGGTTTAAAATTGGACCATATATGTACTACTATAAAGATCGTAAAAGTTCAACGATATACGGGCATTCTTCTGCTGTAAAATTTATTTTGTTTTCTTTGAGACAAATTCCTTAACCCGAAAAGTGCTGGGAGCAACTTCCTCATGCTTGAGAACTGTTTAAAATTTAGCCGTCTTTGTATAAACTCCAGACAAAAATGTAATACGCATTGGAATAATGTTAGATTACGGAATAAATAAACAATGTACAACCAGCTCCCAGCACTTTTCAGAATAGTAGGAATAATGGCTACACGTGTTTAAAAATTCAGAATTTATAGTAAAACGGATATCGTTGAACTTTTGATATTTTCGAGGGGCTGGACCCCTCATTCTAGCACATTACTGTACAAATGTGCTCCCTATGGCTATATATAAATTCTACACATTATCAATTTAGTTTGACAATAAAATGTGGATTAATATATTTCAGAATATGTCTCTCTTTTTGTCTGACTACGCATGTTTCGTATTTATTTTTACAAGCCACGATAAAAGTTTGATCCACGCCTCAAATACAGAGAAACTGCGTGTCAAACTAAGAAATGACGTCATCTCAGTAAGTACAGCGAGATCAAGCTGGCTTTCATTCTGCATATGCTAAGTGCTATTATGGCAAGATAAGTTGCACATCCATTTATTTTTGTAACATTTATGAGAAACGAAAGTATTTCGTGTGTTTTAAAAAGAACATTATAGTATTTATTCATCGAGATTCATTTGTATTGTTTTAACGTGACGTCATAATAGCTCTCCCAAACCGACGTATATATATGGGAGTCCTTAACCTAGCTGCGCGGGTGTGACCGGTGGGCAGGGGATGTTCACTCCTCTATGGCACCTGATCCCACTCTGATGTTTTTGGAGGTCCGTGTTTTCTCGGCTTCCGATTTGTATTGTTTAAATGGACTCTGAGCTTGACTACTGTTTGTTATCTCCATATTTCCTTTAAGCTTTAACCATTATGACTCTAGTAAGGTCAGTTTGGAGGTTACTGAATAGTCATGGAAATTTAGTTCTTAAATATGGATATTCCCACCAAAATAGCAGGTAATTTTAGTATTCCTTTTGATAAAAGAATTTAAATTTTATTGATTATGATGTGTCAAAACAACTCCATATTCGATTTAAAATGTGCCAGAAGAGAAAGGATTACACATCCATTAAGAATTTTAAAGAGAAATCTCCTTTATTTACAAGTCATTTGCCATATCGTAGCAGAGATATAAAAGAGTAAAAAATTAATTTATAATGATGTGTCAAAAAGTCTCCAAATTCGCTTAAAATGTTCCAGAAGAGAAAGGGTTAAACATCCATTTAGAATTTTAAAGAGAAATCTCTTTCTTTTAAGAGTCCTTTCCTATATTGTAGTAGAGATGCCAGGAAGTTTACACGCAAAATTTTATTTGATGCTACATCAGCTCACCTTTTCCGCTCTGAAATTGCTTTTCCTCTTCATCGACTGGGTTACCATGAACAGACATCGCATGCTTAACTTCCTTCTTTATATCTGGCCTAGTAAGTACACCGTACTTTCTTGGTTGAATTTTTCCAATTCTTTGGGTCGGTGAGCTTGTAACTAAATAAGACAACAACAGGATTGAAAAGAAAAATTGTCATTTTAATTAATGGGCAACAATAAAAAGATAATTTAATAAATTTAAATCGTAACACGTAATCATATATTCTTTACGGATTTCTTACTGAATTTTTGTTTCCGGAATTTAACATCTGAGTTTGTATTGGTGTTTTTCTTTCTTTTATAGGCAAAATTTATATTAATTTCTATTCTCGTGAAAAAAAAATCCCACTCTCAATTAGGTTACACATTGTATTAATTGAAAATACATTCTTTTTTTCCGATATGACTTATTTTATACTGTCTGTTTTAGAATTCAAAGCAAAAAAATTCATATATCGATGAATATTCATATTCATTTCTACATTCATTAAATATATCCCTCTAAATTTAATATGAAAGATAACAAAAAGTCCGATACATCTGTTTCATATTTGGATATTTTACTAGAGAAAGACATTAATGGCAAAATAGCAAGAAAACTTGATGAAAAGCTTGAGAGTCCCCCACAATCACCAGAGAGGCAGTCACCACCCGTTCCTGATATACTTTTTTATCGTCAACTTTTACTCTTTATGTAGCAATTTACCTTTTCAAACGTATATGGAGTTAATGTCTCCCAGTCGATTTGATACGCAAGTGGATTTCTACGTACGAACAACTTCTAAAACGAGGCATTTTATTGACAAATGAGTTGATGATACAAGGATATCAACAGTCTCGTTTTAAGTCAACATTTTGCAAGTTCTATTGTTAATACAGTAAATTTTTTAGCTAGCACAATCTGTGATTAAGTCGCAAGTTGACTTGCCTGGCACGTACCTAGCACCAAAGTGTTCAGAAGGAAATTCCTTTGTAAGAATGGAAGGATTGACATTTTCGATGATCAACTCCTGTGATAACCCTAAACTCCCCATATCGCAGGGATATTGCGCCTATGGATCTTTGCATTGTTTCTATACCTGATCTCTTAATCGCTAATTTTTTCGTTGATCTCTCAACGTTATATTTCTCTTAATTTTCATAAAAAAATTACACTCTCAACTTAGCAATAATTTTTACTGACTGCAAATACAATCTCTTCATCTGATTTGATTCTTTTATACTTTCAATCTCAGGATCCGAAGCATCAGATTCATTGTCATCAAGATTTATATCCAAGATTTTTTTTCTTAACGTTGTCTGTAATGTTTAAAGTTCTATTTAATACGACATCGTAAGAAACAAATGATGTGCGTCGCAGCAATAGCATAGATATTCAAGAGTCTATGTTTGCGCGAGGCATTTGTCTGGAAGATCGGTAAGGTTTCTCCGTCCTCTTCTTTGAGGCTTAATGTATTGAGCAGATCTTTAATCAAAAGTAAATCGAAATGCTTGTGCGCTTTAAAGGAAACAATGTTTTAAAGAAAAATCTTCGTGTTCGAGTCTTTTTTCATATCGTAGAAAAATTACCAGGTATTGTTTGATGCTACATCTGCTGACCTTGTATGTCTTGAAATGGCTTTTCCTCTTCATCGACTGGGTTACCATGAACAAAGATAGCACGCTTAACTTCCTTCGGTGTATTCGGCCTAGCTAGTACATCGTACTTTCTTGGTTGAATTTCTGCAATGCTTTGGGTCGCTGAGCTTGTATCTGAATAACCAACAAAAAGAATGAAAATAAAATATTGTCTTTTTAATTAATGGGTAACAATAAAAAGATAATTCAATAAAACAAAATAAAACAAGTGATCAAATATTCTTTATGAATTCCTAAATGTATTTGTGTTCTGAATTGAATTCTTCAGTTTGTTTTGTAATTTCATTTTCAAGCGCTAAGCGCAGCGCAAAGCGCTTACTGGCAGCGTACAACTACTTCCTTTCGCGATCCAGCGAAACTAAGCAAGTTAGATATTTCTACGGAGTCTTAAAAAAAATATGCAACTGGAAATCCTCGACTCTCAATCAGCATGCAGTTCTAATAATAGTATAGGTATCAATAAGTAAGGTAGAGAGTACGAAATCCCTCTGTTAGTGGATAAGGACGTTTCTTATCTCTGTACAATGTACAATCATTTGTCATATAGCTAGCAATTGCTTCAGTGTTAATCCGAAGAAGTAAATAACCATCTGAACTGATAAAAATACCTTGAAATATTTCATTATATGTTATGCAATGTATTGATTTGATAAGTACATGTACGAATTTAAAACTCGGATTGGATTGTGTTTAATGAGTATTTGAAACTCATGGGAATTAAATCATTTAGCAGAAAATTTTGCATAAAAAAAATTATTAACTTACGCTCTATATTTTTTACGTCCTTATTAACTAATATAACCTCTACTGGACCCTTATTTCAGACAATGTAATTAGAAAAAAGCCTTTCTGTTATCGGAAATTTTCAACTTTGCTATGTATATTTAGATATAACAATTTTAAACTCCCCTTTAAAACTGGGAGATGGAATGGTCTCCCAAGGAGAACAAAGGATTTGTACTTTATGTGATCTTATTGAGATTAGTGATTAATTTCATTGTTTTTGAATGCACACAAAAAGAAATTAAAATGGCTAGGTTAAAATATATTTCAAATTACTGTAAACCAACTTTTATTCGCGTGCGAGAAATTTTCGCGAGGTTCGCGAGAGCCTTGTCATCGCGAATATTCCTCGCCGCGAACCGGTCTTTAAAGTCTCTCTTTCTATTAACAACAGATCAAAAAAAGGCTTGATCGCGAAAATTAATCGTTGCAAACTAGTTTATCCCCGGTAAATCGTGAAATAAAGTCTTCGCGAATAAAAGTCGGTTTACAGTACCTCAGACCAAATATAGAGAAATTTAAACAAATTTTTTCCAACAACAAACTGTTCAGTATTGAAAAAAAATTTGCAAATTTTTGTTGATTGTCAAACAAATCATAGATGGAAATAATTGATCTGTATCTTAACATGATATTTTGTCCTGTTTATTATACATGAATTAAATATACCTATCTACATATGTTGTATCCTTTTCTACCTCCTCTCTACAATGTATGTTTGTAGATTTATGAGAATAAAATCATTGTCATTGTCATCACCCTTGCATCATGCAGAGAGCTATAAATGACATACATTTCGCACCTCAGTATCAATTAGTAATAGATTGAAATGTATTTAGGGACAGTCTATACTTGTAACATGGATTTAAAAAAATGATGTAAATAATTCGTGTTTGTGGCATGTAGTGGCTGTGTTTTCAACCAGTCCTCTCAGAGAGAAAAACTAATTTCTCGGAAATATTGATGACAAATATTGTGCTTTGTTGTGTAATGTTCCAGATATGGCGGGAAAAAGCCCTAAACGATGTAGCAAGGCAAGCATAGCACTGATGTGATGTTATGCATACTTGTGTGAAAAAAGAATTAGGAAGAATAAATTTATGTAAAGGTGTGCCTGCGATACCCATTTGTAAGTACATCTGCTTAGCATGATTTAGAGAACTAAATAAAAACGGAATGTTTCCCTTCATGAAGACTAGAAGAGCGAGTTTCACTTGTTCATACTTGAGTATAGTAAAATTATTGTCTTGTAAAAACTTATACTAGTATTTGGGTCGTGAAATTATTTTTAGAACTATGGAACTAGCAGAGAAATTACGGGCTATTTATTTTCAGTATTTCTTTTCACTGAACACAATGGGGCTTCTTATCAGCATGTAGTTAAAGCTGAACACGATTCGTAAAAGGAATCTGTTCGACATATTCCTTTATTCAGTCGTTAATAAATAAATACCGCATGTAGTTGAGAGTAACATTGAAAATTTTTACCCCAAAACCATTGACAACCGACGCACAGCCCTCAACTACATTCTGTATTTATTATATTATACCGAGTGTTTTATACACATACACTTAACAATGAACCGCGCGAGCATAAATTCTGCGCAGTCTATATTTTTGTTTTTTTGGAATATCACCCGTCGTCATGCAAAATTGACTGTTGCTACACTGGAGGACGTGATTTCATCATTCAGAGGATAACTGTTAATTTTTTTTTTTTTTTTTTTTTTTTACAAATGTTCCTCGACGAATCAGGTTCAAGTTATTTACATGAAAGTATAATATATCTAACTGTCTAAGGGGTCCTTATATAAGCCGTTTACTTAGTCGCTATTCAGTGTAATCAGTTGTCACATGTGTAGACGGACGTTTGCTACATAGCTATTGTAAAACACTCGGTAGCGACAAAAATAACTGTGTAGTTCTTCCACGGCAGGAGATAAAGTTACCAAAGAAGCTTTCAACACTTGCACAGGTCAGTGCAGTATACAGTAAACACAAATACACGTAACTGCAATAAAATGTAAACAACGGTAGTGTAAGATACCAGCACGAACACTTGTCGTCAATTCCACGCAGGTACCCGTGACAATAAAGCAGACAGGTGTAACAAATGCGAAGGGTATACCCCAGTGCTGATATTGGTGATGGTAAAACTAAGTGGCGTGAGCCTATTTACCATGTTTACGAGTCGTGTTCATATTTAATATCGTACGTTAACAAGTTAAGATTGATGCAAAGCATCAAATGTCCGTAGAAATTTTACTGAAACATTTCAAAGTATTCTTACAAGAAAGAGTCCAAGGAAAATACTCTTGAGTTTTTACTATGATATGTTTTATTTCAAAGTAGAAAAGTATAAACAGTTTTATTTAAAAAAAGAAATGTTTACAAATCAGCTACACGTATTGCGAGATAAAGAGAAATGACATAACTTTAATCTCCGGTGCAAATATATCATAATTCATGCATATGAAGATAAGAGATAAAAGGATAGGAATGTTTTATCATCAAACGAAGACAAATGTAATATCCTAATACCCATAATTTATATACACAAATAATCTCTGACAAAATGACGTAAACTCCTCGGGTGCTTAGATCTTCGTCACATCCCAGCAAGCACCCAACGTTGTTTCAACGTTGAAAGTAGGTGGAATATAGGTTGCAACGTTGAGCAACTATAGTTCAACGTTGTTTCAACGTTGAGGTTTCAACGTTGAATCCTCAACCTTTTTACAACGTTGAAACAACGTTGAAGATGCAACATATTTTCAACGTTGAATGTTCGTCGATATTTCAACGTTGAAACAACGTTGAAGATTCAACATATTTTCAACGTTGGATCCTTAACCTTTTTATAACGTTGAAACAACGTTGAAGATGCAACATATTTTCAACGTTGAATTTTTGTCGATATTTCAACGTTGAAACAACGTTGAAGATTCAGCATATTTTCAACGTTGAATGTTTGATGTTATTTCAATTTTGAAACAACGTTGAATGTTCGTCGATTTTACAACGTTGAAGATTCAACATATTTTCAACGTTAAATATTTCCTGTTATTTTAAGGTTGAAGCGATGTTTAAAATACAGTATATTTTCAACTTTGAATGTTCGTTAATAGTTTTACGTTGAAACAACATCGAGGATGCAACATATTTTCAACGTTGAAAAAGTGAAGAAAACTTAATGTTGAAACAACGGATAATGAGCACCTTATTTTTCAAGGTCAATTATAAGGGTTAATGAACGATAAATCAGTGTAATTTTTTGCTATATAAATATGCATTGTTAGCAAATATCATGATTATTCACAACACTGTAATTGCATGTTTCAAAAAAGTTAATTTGTAAATTAATTCTGAATGCAGTGTTTTTGCATGAATGAAAAAGAAAAAAAAAACTTTTTATGTGCTTAAGATAAGCTGTTTATAAATAATGGCATCTTTATTCAATACTTCACTGTAATTCCTTGTTACTATAGAATTAATAAAAATAAGAATTTATTCCAAATTAATGTAATCTAATTAAAATAAGCCTTCTTAGATCCGTGCCGTATACTCTGCACAGAATGTATACGGAGCGGAACTAAGAAGTCTGATTTTAGTTAGATTGTGTTTTTGTTGCATTTATATGAAAGGGGGAAAAGTAAACTGTAATATATATATATTACTATAATCTTTCTTATCACAAAATATAAAAACATTGAAATAAACACGTTACAAAAAGGTTTAACAATTTTCACGCTAACAATTAACCCCGGTCAGTTTACATTACTTAGATCCACTCCCCAAACTATCTTCAATCATCAGATAAGGAGTGGTTCTTGCTTAGCTGGTTAGTTTCAGTGTCATGATAACCTTGTTATGCAATTTTCGTGCTGGGCAGCGATACAGAGAAGTTGTTTGCAGTTTATCTGGGTCAAAATTTAAATTCAACTGATGAACAAGAAGTCTTCTTGCTGTTCACATATTTTGTATTTTACACGCCATGCACAAGGATTGAGGCTGGATTATCATATCTTCTGCTCAGTAAGTATAATTTAGAAGACATTTTAGATTTTCTAGTACCCATACATCATTTCATTCTTGTAAGCATATTTGTAATCTGCATGCAACATTTTAATACTTCGCAATTACCAATGCCTTTATCCTTACAACTTATTTTGAATGGAGACAATAACCTTACTTACAACCAAAATATTGCAGTATTTAAACTTGTTCATGAATTTATTACATCTACAAAGAGATTTGCATGATATTGTTTCTCTTCTTTTTTTTAAATTGTCAAACCACAGAACCAGCATATATTAATGCGTTCTTATTAACTTTCACATTTATACCTGTATTATTTTTGTTAGTCATATAAGTTAAACTACAAACATATTCTATCATCAGCTCACTTATAATTAATTTTCTACTACTTATTTTGTCTTATTTTTATAAATTTCTTTTGAATATACATATGTATGTATTTATTTTTTCAATAATATGTAACTAATATTTACTTGTAAATGTATATGACATTGACCTTGTATTATGGAGAGGACTTATATAGGCAGTGCCTGTTGTCCAACCTTATTATGATTATACATAATAAAATATTGTTTAAATTAATCTGCGTGAAACGCACATCCTTAGTTCGTGTATTTATGTGTTTGGTTGATATTCATTTGCACATGAAATTAAAATATAGTATACAATTTAATTGCAGTTTGCCGTAAGGTTCCATCAACCACTGGCGGTTTTGAGACGTAATTGATGCCCTGAATGGATGAGATCCATCGCCGGTGAAAATTACAAAGGAATGCAACATTGTGTATGTACACCTCCATGTTTTTAACATTTTTCTTCAGTAACAATTATTTATAACCATACTGTTACAGTAATGAATTTTAACACGAGGACAAATATAATTCTTTTCATTAATAAAAGAACATGTACTTTTGTCTTCTTTTTTTTTTTAATTCATGTATATTTTTATCATTTGAAATATCAAGTTATCAAATAAATGACTTTCATATCATTATTTCTTTTGGTAATAGGTTTTGCATTAGAGGATGGAGCTTCCTGTTCATTTCTTTCCGACCGACGAGTCATTTTGTGGGACTTAATGTAACTATGCGCGTGATTTAAAAATCAATGGATCTGCCACTTTGTGGAACTTAGTTTTAGGTAGATGCGTGGTATGATGAACCTGGATAAATTTTGTTAAACAGCGATTTTTGAGATTCGGTGATTGGATCCTGGATTTATCTTTGTTTTGACGCAGTTTAAAATAAATTTACTCAGAATCTTAATACTGAATTACAACTTACATATGTATTTCGCAACTTGAATAAAAACTTTTATTAGAATGTGAAATGTATTTGTTTATAAAGCAAAACTCAGTATGACTTCAACGGAATTTCAACCAAATATCAACATTTGTACAACCAAAAATTTCAACCAAAAATCAACCTAATTTCAACCAATGTTCAACCTTTTTTCAATGTTGATATTTGACGTTGAAACAACTTTGAAGTTTCAACGTTGCCTTAACTTTCATTTGCAACCAAAATTCAACTATAAATCAACCAAAGTTCAACCCATTTTCAACGTCTATTCAACATCGAAAATTTACGTTGAAACAACGTTGATGTCTCAACGTTGCCTCAACTTTCATATGCAACCAAAATTCAATGTTGATTCAACGTTGAATCAACGTTGAAATGTCTGCTGGGATTATTTACACACTGAATTGTCGACGGATTTTTCCGTTATTTCGCGATCATGACAAAGAGCACACGGCGGGTGTGACCAGTCATCAGGGGATGCTCACTCCTCCATGGCACCTGATCCCACCTCTGGTGTTTTGGATGTCCGTGTTTGCTCTGCTCCTATTCTGTTTTGTTTAATGGACTTTTGAGCTTGAATACTGTTCGTTATCTCTATTTCTTTTACATCATGATGCCGATATGCTGCAAAGCGCGGTAAATGTGAAATTTGAAATAAAAAACTGTTGTGCCATTTAAGGCTGTAGCATATTCAAAACAAAATGTAATAGTCTAAGCTTTTTTTATCATTAATTACTACTGGATGCTCGTAAGGATTGTGTACATATCTTACACGCTCCCATGTTGGGGAGCACTTCTAATTCAGACATAATATTAATTAATTTTTAAGACTTGTAATTCATAACTTTAATATATCTTTTATCAATAAGAAATCATTTATTAAACCAATAAAAAATAACGCCTTATTTCTCTGAATGCATTTTCTTACACCCACAAATAGATAGGCCTCTCCTGCGGCTGATGACAAATAAAATCACGGTCACAACAAAATTAAAATACAAAGTCTACCCTGCAAAACTCGTGAGCATGGATTGAATTTATTATCAAAATTTATCTCTAGAACATTTCCAGTTCTCAGTGTTGCATATCATTGAGAGGAATATCAGCAGCATTTTTCAGGTGTTCAAAACTCGTTTATCATTTCCCCCCTCATTCCTTGCGATTTATACACAAAGCTAGCTCTTATAGCTTCCTAAGATGGAAAAAGAAAATAATACTACATGTAATTTCTTTCTTTCTTTTTATAGGTTTAAGAAATACGTTGCTATTTGCACTGATTATCTGTCACTTTTGCATATATTGATTTTTTTAAGAAACGTAGAAATATTATCTGCCAATTACATGTATGTGAAGTTTAACTTTTGACAAAAGCGGAAAGATAAACTATATTTAAAATAAAGGGGCATAAAAACTTGCTTAATAATTTCATATCCCATGGGGAAAATTTCATGACTCGCGTGTTGCCATAGTGTTTCAGTCTGATATACATGTTATTATAAAAACAAGTTCAGAAATACTTTTACTATAGCATTTGAACATTAAATCATACTAAAATTATCATAATTTTGATTTTACGTGAGATCCTCAAATGTCTCCTCGAGTGATTTGAAGAGGCGGATATGCTTTATTTTCAAGTGAATTTGTATCAAACAACTGTGCTCGCACCAATAGACACAGAGTCAACTTATTACTGATTCCAATACAACAGAAAATTTTAAATTCATATTAAATCAACTTCCCTTACTTATGCAGCAATATACCTTCATCACCTGCATACGGGGTATATATCTCTCAGTTGATTCGATACGCAAGAGCATGCTCTACGTATGTACAATTTCTAAAACGAGGTAAATTATTGACAAATAAGTTAATGAAACAAGAATATCAGCTGTCTCGTTTAAAGTCATCATTTCGTAAGTTCTATGGTCGATACAATGACCTTGTCAGCAAATACAATTTATCATTGAGTCAAATGCTGACTGACGTTTTTCATATTAATTGTTAGGCCATTATTTACACACTGAATTGTCGACGGACTTTTCCATTATTTCCCGATCATGACAAAGAGCACACGGCGGGTGTGACCGGTCGGCAGGGGATGCCCACTCCTCCATGGCACCTGATCCCACCTCTGATGTTTGGAGGTCCGTGTTTGCTCTGCTCCTATTTTGTATTGTTTAATGGACTTTTGAGCTTGAATACTGTTCGTTATCTCCATATATTTCATCTGATGAATTTAATTTGCAAACATTGCTTAGCGCTTCTCAGTACTTTCAGTACGTTGATTTTATCTCTCATCGTTATTATTATTTTTTTTATTTTTATGAAAATTCCCACTCTTAACTAAATTATACCCTCTATTGATTTCTAATACATTCTCTTTTTTCAGTATTATTTTTTTTTCATACTTTCATCGTTAGAATTCGAAGCAAAAAAGAAATCATTATCTCATTGAGAACCTCTAAGGTTTCCTCAATCTCGCCTATAATGTCTTATTTAAGACAATAACCTATTCGATATAAAGAATTGTCGGATTTGTTAAAACGAATTAAATTCGTTTTTACCAATTTTCGAATTCGTTTAAAGAAATCAAAGAGGTTTTGACACAGATTTGAAGTTAATATTTTTAAATTCGCTGTAACATCCTGACTAACATGTTTCTAGAGCATTTCAGACCGACATATAATTAAAGCGTGCTTAAAAACTATTTTATCTGAAAATTATTACAACTACAAATTGCAAGACATATTTCATTGACACACATTCCTGCACTTTAAAAAGTGAATTTATCCTTATTATTTAAGAAAATTGGAAAACATGGTGTGTACTACTAATAAAAAAAATTCAAAATTATAATCCAGAAAATTCAGAGTAGAAATGAAAGAAAGCAGAAAAACACCAGTGTTATCAATTCGTGTTTGGTTATATGTGAGTTAACAAATTAAACGGTAAAACGTACACATTAACAATAACTGAGCTTGTGTCCACGTTAATATAAACAAGTAATGTTACGAAGAATATGGTGATCATTGAATTCTACGTTTTCATATAACTTGAATTTATGAAACTGAAGTTATTTTTTTTCAATAAAATTTGAAATTAAAATTATAAGCAAAACGGTAATGCAATTGTGTTCAGACCTCATTCTTAAAACAAGTTTTGAATTTAATATTCAAAATTTGTAATGACAAATCAAATTTGTTCAAATGAATTCCTAAACTTGACATTATATATTAAATTCGTTAAAGCGAATTCGACATGAAACGCCCATAGAAAAATATTTCTGAATTCAATAATTATAAACAATTATAGAATTTGTTTAAACAAATTTAATTCGAGATAACCAGTCGTCGAATTTGTTAAAAGGAATTCAAAATTAGGTTTAATTAAATGAAATATGGACATAACGAATAGCATTCAAGCTCATAGTTTATTTAAACAATACAAATCGGAAGCAGAGCAAAAATTGAACTCCAAAATCATATCGGAGGCGGGATCAGGTTCCATGGAGGAGTGAGCATCCCCTGCCGATCGGTCACACCCGCCGTCATAATCGGGAAAAACGGAAAGTTCTGTAGACAGTTCAGTGTGTAAAAAATGTATATTTTGTACATTGTATGTGATTTAAGTGTTTTTCCTACCTAAGGGGAACAATGGGTTGTCCTCAAGCATGTAAATAAGCATAATCTCCACGAAAGCAGTGTAAATTCAGATGGCATTGCTGGTCATCGATTTAAAATAAACAATTAAAAGCTTTATATAAAACAAGACAAAATATTGATAAAACAAGCTTTATTAAATTTAATTTTTGGATTTTCAAAGAAAGAAGAATAATATAATTAGACCCCGATTTTCATTACTGTTAGATTTTCAATGAGAGAAGAATGATACAATTAGATTCAATTTTCATAACTTTTTTAAAAAGAAAAATTTCTGTTTAGAAATTATAATACTTTTCTTTTGGTATAGTAAAAAGCTAATTAATATTTTGTTTTTAATTTTCGTTATATATTAAATCAAAATCAGTTTTAAAATAAATTTATTTCAACATTAAACATATGAATATAAATCCGCTTTTAATGGTCTATGTGAATATTAAACATGTGAAAATAAATCCGCATTTAATTTTCTTCCTTGTTTGACATCAATGTAATTTCAAATATTGAAAACATAAAAAGAGTGTATTAATTATCAAACTGGACTGCAATCCATATTCTACAACATAAACGCTTCATTACTAACGTTTTGCGTGAAATTCGTAGGCATCCTCAATGTATTTATTTTCCGTTATATGCACTTTTATCACGAATTCATTTTCATTCTATGTTAATACAAAAGTATAGCAGAAAATATTCATATACAAAATGTGTTTCCAAATATCGATTAAAAAACATTTACTCAGAATAATTTTTAGTTATATCTGTACGCAGGCCCTAATGTAATAAAGATCTTCACTTGTCGCACGAAATGATGTCTGAAATGCAGTATTATTAACCATTTGTACAAAAAAGACTAATGCTTGCTCTACATTAATAGATAATTAAAGAAAATGTATAATATTTAAATAACATATTTCCCATCTCCTAAAGAAAAGACGTCTTCTTAAGTACTAGTGTGGAATGCTAAGGCAATTGTTGAAAATATGGATATAGTGTTAATTGCGAAAGTTTTAGCAACGACGATGCCATAAACAATTAATGTATTTACAGGAATTCATTTTACATACTATAGGCAATAGATCACGAAGATCGACACAGCATGTTTTTTTTTTAAATCAAAGGTTCAGATTTACATGTACATGGCTGTACCTGTGTTCATGTATTTATTTTATAATTGTGTATTTTGTTTTAAAAAAAATTATTGTACGTAAAAAAAATATTTGAAACATTTTCAAATTTTAAAATTAGTTCTTATATAAAACTTCGAATATAAATGATAAATGTTTTATTTCCAAGAAGGGTAGCCTATAACTCTAGTTCTTGTTTACCCAAAGATGGGAAATTCAATTCATCGCCAAATTCGTTATACCGCCATGATTTCTAAATTACAAAAGGGGGCGGTTTTCGAGAATTAACTGTATATACTGATGTGATGTTTGTCAATATTGCTACAAACAAATTTTTATTATATAAACTGAAACTATTTGATTTATATACGCCGACCGGCATCTATTCGATAAGACGTGTACTATTATAAGTTTAAAAAATACATGGATTTATAGTGGATGCACATGCGTTTGAAAAAGGACGGTCAGAAATTTTGAGAGAAGATTTTTGTGTATTTAATCGTGATATATCTTTTGGGGGGATATTAGGGTAACAGTGTATGTCACAATATACCGGAGGATAATAAGGACAATAAAAGACGATTATCTTTAGAGGGCATTACACCTAAAAAGGACAGTAAGTCAGCCAAAACAGGAAGGGTGGTCAATGGCGGGCATGTTGACAAAGGCACATTCATGAATACACCACCGCCTGCACATTCGAACACTGCGCAACCAGCGTGGGTAGATCAACTCATGATTCAAATCAGCGACCTTGAAACCAAAATCTCGAAAATCGACAAAGTAAGTGAAGATTTGACTTTACAATGCAATCGCATTGAATATATCTGAACTAGAGTCTGTCATCTGGAGAAGTATACCGGTAACCTTGGAAACTCGGTGGGGTAAATCAAGAAATCTCAAATGTGCCTAAAAGGCGATGTTGAGGAAACGGTGAGGGAAATTAGGGAATTGAAGTTAGTTAATGAACAATTACAAGGCAAAATTACAGATATGCAGGCAAGATTCGCTCATTTTTGTACA